GGGAGAGCAGGCCTCCGAAACCGAGTCGTCTTTGTGTTCACCTACTCGGGTGAAAGGTGGCCATCACGTTTTTGGGGAGCGACTACACAACTGCTCGATCGTTCAACAAACCTCATCTTCTTCCCGGCGTTCGTGGTGGCGGCAGGAGATCGGCACTTGAAAGCTCTAGTTTGGTTTTGGTGAATTGATGAAACCCTAAGTGCTAACCTAGTTTATCAAAGTGATCATGAGATAGGTAGCACATTTCAAGCGGTGAAGCAAATGAAGATCATGACATGATGATGGTGATGCCATGGTGATGATCAAGTGCTTGGACTTGAAAAGAAGAAAGAGAAAAACAAAAGGATCAAGGCAAAGGTATAAGTGGTAGGAGCCATTTCGTTTCGGTGATCAAGACACTTAGCGAGTGTGATCATATTTAGGTTTGATAGCCGTACTATTAAGAGGGGTGAAACTCGTATCAAAATATGGTTATCAAAGTGCCACTAGATGCTCTAACTCATTGCATATGCATTTAGGATCTAGTGGAGTGCTAACACCCTTGAAAATGTTTGTGAAAATATGCTAACACACATGCACAAAGGTGATACACATTGTGTTTAGCACTTGGGAGCAAGGGTTCGAAACTTCACCGGCGCCCTGTATAGAAAAGATAGGGTTTCACAGAGTGCACCGGACGCTGGCCTCGGAAGGACCGGCGCGTCCGGTCAGTGACAGCAGTTGGGTGTGGTCTCGATCAAATGACCAGACGCTGCACTATAAAGGTGACCTGACGTGCAGGGCCTGCGTCCGGTCGTGTGTGACGTATGGTGACGTAGGTGATGCTGGAGTTGGCGCGCAGGCGTAGAGCTGATTGGACGATGGTCTATGTCCAGTCGTGCAGCACCGGACACGTTCGGTCGCAAAACAGAGGCTTGGGGATCTCTTTGGAAACGACCGGAATCTGGCTGGTCTATGTCCGATCGCATAGGAGCGGACGCGTCTAGTCACGACTGGAACCTTACTGGAAGTGACCGGACGCTGTCCTATGCTGTAGAGCGTCCGGTCACAACTTAAGTATACTGATGACCATTGAGATCGGACGATCAGCATTTGAAGCAGGAGACACGTGGTGAAAATCTGAGGACCGGACGCTGGGGTCCTGCGTTTGGTCAAACCGACCGATGCGTTCGATCGCCTCGATTTTCAGTGGACTGAGGTGCCAATGGCTCTATTTCGTGGGGGTTTCTATTTAAGCCCCATGGCCCGGCTCAAGCTCACCCTCTTGGCCATTTGCATTGACATAGCAACCTTGTGAGCTTAGCCGAAGCCCTCCCACTCATCTTCATCATTAATTCAACATTTTTGTGAGATTGGGAGTGAATCCAAGTGTATTGCTTGAGTGTTTGCATCTAGAGACACTTGGTGTTCGTGTTTCGCTGCGGGATTCGCTTGTTACTCTTGGTGGTTGCTGCCACCTAGATGGCTTGGAGCAGCGAGGATCGTCGAGCGGAGGTTAGTGATTGTCTCCGGCTCCGATCGTGGTGATTGTGAGGGGTTCTTGACCTTTCTCCGGCGGAGAGCCAAAAGGTACTCTAGTAAATTGCTCGTGGCTTGTGTGATCCTCATCTTGTGTTGGTTGTGCGGCACCCTATTGAGGGTTTGGAGGGTGATGCCAATCAGCTCGTAAACATCCAAGTGAGTGAATTGCCATATCGAGGACTAGTTTGTCGGCAAGCAAGTGAATCTCGGTAAAAAATCATTGTGTCATTATTTGATTTCGAGGTGATTGGTCTTCATTGGTATTCATTCTTGTGATTGATTAGTTCATTTCTTAACTCGGCGGTATAATCATCTTGCTCACTCTCTTTACATTACCGCAAACTAGTTTGCACGCTCTTTAGTGTAACTAGTTGTGATAGCTTGTTAGTTTGGTTAATGTGGCGCTTTAGTTAGCCTTTGAGAGCACACTAACTTAGTGTAGTGACATAGCCATTGTGTGGATAGAAAATATATAAACTAGAATTGTGGTAGGTGGCTTGCAATTTTAGTAGGCTAGCGTAATACTTGCTTTGCCTCATAATTGTCTAAGCGGTTTGCTAAGTGTTGTTGTAGAAAGTTTTAATAGGCTATTCACCCCCCTCTAGCCATTAGGACCTTTCAGCACTGCAACTTCTCTGCATTACATCGAGCGGGATGACTGCTCCAACAGGCGCTATGTCAACTTGCGCAACTAGCTCTGATACTGCTAGGTATGTTCTAATTCATCCCCTATCTTCAACGATTAAAATTATGATTATTAGTATCATCTACATGTTTGTGTCACTTAGATCACACGTGCACATATATGAGGTCACAAACTTATTCTTAATATTTTTCTAGATTAAATTAATACTAAAATTGCCTAAATTTCTAACATCTTCTTACATTTTCACTAAAAAGAAGCACTAACCGAATCCAAGAGTCGCACCATTCCTTACCAATGTTTGGGAAAATAAAGCATACGTCGTGTTCGAACTGGATTTTTTCTTATATCGACAATCCATTGACTCTTCTTTGGCACCACCACACTCCACTGTCCACTCTGGCACCCTCTCACAAGTCGTTGTATCGTTGTAGCTGCATTCTTGGTGATGTGGCTCCTAGCATTACATATCACTTCATTCGCGACCTTTGCTAGGAGTCTTTGTTACCTTTTTGTATCTTGGGTGGTGGTGTGATTTGCTACCACGTACCACCATTGCCCGCCGCAAAGAGTCCCCATTCATCTCTCATCTCCACCATGTTGCATAGAGATTCATTCCCCATACTAGTTATTCTCTTGATCAAGCATGCTCATACAAATTATATCCCACTAAGCGTTGGTCCACCCACGACATTTATCGGCGGGAGCAGAGTCAGAAATTATACATAGCGGAAGCTGGTCAAAGAGATTCAATATATGTGAATTAAGCGCAACTTATCTTCTTAAGTTCTTTTGGTGGAAACCCGACCACCCACATTAGTCATCGATGTAGCGGCTCCTATTTTCTATAATTATTCTAGTATTTGATGATTTAATAATGCTATTCTATCCATGATAGGCGATCATGTCTGTCGACAACGAGTCATTTGTGGTGACTATGACTCAGATTCTCGAAATCTTATCGCCTTAGTATTTCGAAGGTGCTCATGTGGGGTAGGAGTTCATATGGGTGAGAATACATGCACATAAAAAGGGAGTCGACATAATAACAGTGCCACCCAATAAGCTTGATGATGATAAAGTATTGATGACCACCTAATTCTTATTACTAGGAAAATAAGTTTAGATGGATCAAAATATTTAAATCTGATTGTGTTTTGTGCGATTTTGTTGTCTAGAAAACTAGAAGATACTCCAGGCATTGTTCCGGGATTACGAAGAATTTGGAATGAAATTGAGTGGACAGGATGTATGTGGATAGCTTGCAATTAGAGGTTGGAAATTAGTAGGATGATATGGTCATTAGTGGAAGATGATGCGGGTAGTTAGTGGAGGATGATGTTGATGGCTTGTATGTTTAGATAAACTTGTAGTAGGGATTATCTTTATGAGAGATATAGATAGATAGGTACTCCCTCCATTAATTCCAAATTATAAGAAGTTTTGGCTTTTCTAAAAACATTGTTCTCACCATGTATTTAGACATAGAGTATATCCAAGTGCATAGCAAAAATAATATATCTAGAAAAGCCTATATAGATAGAGTATATAACAAGAATTTTATTATATCTTTTAATATCAAAAATTTATTAAACTATATATTAAATAAAAAAAATAATGGTTGTGCTATTAGCGGGCCATACCCCGTGTTAATCGGTTACAATGAAAACGCATCGTAGTGACTATACTAGTAGAATAGAAGAAGTAAAATACCTCATGTAAAAAAGAAGATTATGAATTCAAAAAAAAATTAGAACGTGATTTCACTTATATTTCAAAAAAAGATTTACTAAAATCATGCGGTCTCGTAGAAAAGGCATAAAATTCGAAATGCACTAGAGAATGGTTGGTAGGACTCAAGAAACAGTTTAAATCGAAAGTTCGGTTCGGGTTTTTCGGTTTTAAAAACTTTGATTTTCAGAATAAGCTAAACGATCAGTTTTTTCCTAGAGCCGAAAATTGACGGGTTTGGTTTTCCAAAAAAAAAAAAAGAAGTCAAGTCCTCAAGTCTTCTGCTTGCCAGGTTGTTGTTGCCCTCACCCCTTGCCCCCTGCTTCGCCGCCGCTTCCACCTGCATACCCTCGCTCGTTGTTGGCCACCGTTGTGCCCACGGGTGCTCCCTACTCGTCTGGCGCCGCAAGAAGCCAAAGCTGCTAGAGCAGGAGGGTTTGCAGTCTGTTCGTTTGATCATATTTGACTTATAAGACATAGTTTATCAGCCAATAAATAGTATTTTTCTCTCACACCAAACCAGCCAGCAGTACTTTCAGCCATGGCTTATAAGCCAAATCAGCCCAAACGAACATGGCGTTAGTTCTTTGGAGGATTGGGAGTGAGAGCCTGAGAGAGGTTGAGGGGGTTGGTTGGGGACTTCGGGCTTGGTGGGAGGGGTGTGGGGATTGTGGGCTGGCTTGGAGAATGGGCGACGGTGGGCTGTGACCTAGGAGAGACGGTGAGTGGGGCTGGGTCTAGGAGCTACTGATTGTTTGATTTTGGTTTTAAGGTTGTTCGGTTCTTTGTGACCCTAAAACAGAAACTAAGACAGATTGACAACCGAACTTCCAAAACCCAAAAAAATCGGTTCGTTTGGTTGGGTTCAGTTTTCGAAAAAAGTACCCAGCCTTAATGGCTGGGTTTGGGGTTTCGCAGCAAATACGAGAATCTACAAGGCGCTATGTGACAAAATGCATGCCACACGAGTTCAGTGGCTTTGTTATATCTTATTACACCCCGGGACCCACAGTTAATGTGTAGGCCCCGACCCCTACCAGTAGGTGGGTACACTACTCATGTGCACGTGCACAACGGCACACGACTCGTTGGGGCCCTATCTAAACTAGCCGCTGAACGGGCGGTACACCTTGAGCGCGCCGATGACGTCGGCGATGGAGCCCGCGGCGGCGGCGACGGACACGACGAGACAGGCGGCGCTGAGCATCTGGAGGCAGATCCAGTGCGTGCTCCCTCTGCGCACGCCGCGCTGCGCGACGTACATCTCGATGGGGAAGTAGACGGTGAGCGGCCAGAAGGAGACGGCGCCGAGGAGGCCGACGACGTCGCCGAAGAAGGGGAGCAGCATGGCGACGACGGTGGTGAGGACGACGAACGCCGTGCGCCAGGTGAGGCGGAACACGCTGAGCTTGAAGGGGCCGACGGCGCCGAGCTCCCGGGTGATGAAGGCGCTGTCGGGCCACGTGGCCGCCGCCCACTTCTCGACGAAGGCGAAGAGCGGCTGGCAGAAGACCTGGTAGGCCCCGACGAGGTGCACGACGATGGCGACGTTGGCGATGTCGAGGAGCCAGAAGGGCTCGTAGAAGCCGAACCCCGTGAGTAGGTTGTCCGGCGCCGCGTCGCCGAAGGCGGCGTAGCCCATGCACCCGCACAGCATGTAGAACACCGTCGTCGTCGCCACGCTCACCATCGTCGCCCTCTTCATCACCTTCGCCTCCGACGGCGGCGGCGCCTTGATCGTGTCCTGAACAAACAAACATTCGGTAGGCACATGGTCAGGAACAGAGGAACAGAGCAGCGGCGGCGTAAAACTGTTGCAGCTGATCAGAACAGAGCAGGTAGGGTCTTGGGCTTGCCTGGATCTCGATGAGGATGATGGAGTAGGAGTATGCGAAGGCGATGTTGCCGAAGGCCTGCAGGCTGCGCCAGACCTTCTGCGTGGGCGTGACGTCGGCGCCGATGCTGATCCCGGTGAGGCTGCCCTGGAACCCGCCGTTGGCGACGGTCTGCATGACGCCGAGGACGAGGCCGATGGTGGAGTACGTGAAGGACATGACGGCGGCGACGATGGAGAGCCACCATATCTGGTCGAAGTCCGGTATCTGCGAGAAGACGACCTAGGCGACGCCGAAGAGGATCATGTACGGGTTGCTGGAGCTCCGGCACGCGTGCCGGTGGCCCTTGGCGTGGAAGCAGTCCGCCCTCTTGATCGCCCTGTGCTCCGTCGTTGGCGCGTCACAAATTCAGATGATGAGATTGAGATAGAAGCATGGAGATTGATTGATTGATTAATCGAGGCAAGCAAGCTGCAAAGGGCATTATTAATTACATACAGCATGCTGATGGATGCGGCGATGGTGTAACCGATGGCGACGCCGAAGAGGTTGGCGTACTGGATGGCGCCGCAGAGCGTGACCTTGGCGCCGCCGAGGCTGGCGCGGACGGCGTCCATGTAGGTGTAGTTGCGCTTGCCGGCCACGGGGTCGCCGGAGCGGTAGCACTCGGCGAGCAGCGTGGAGGTGTAGTAGATGACGACGGCGAAGAGCAGCATGACGGCGGGGCCGGCCGCCCAGCCCAGCTGCGCGATGGCCCACGCCAGCGACAGGACACCGGAGCCGATGACCGCCGTGATGATGTGCGCGCTCGCCGTCCACACCGTGCCCGTCCGCCGCGGCCGCCCGTCGTCGTCGGCGCTGCCGCCGCGGGCCTCCACCAACGACAACTCGTCAAACGGGGCCTGCTTCTTCGCCACCATTTTTTCGCTGGGACGCTAGTAGTAGTAGTAGCTTGTGATGTCTGGGGAATGAAGGGGAGGGGAAGTATATATATAATATATAGCCAAGTGCCAGGTCGCTAGTGGCAGTGACCCGGCCAATCCGACACCCGGCCGGCCCATCAGGTTGGGGTGGGCAACTGGTATTGCCTACAAATCAAGTTGGGCTGGTCCAGATCCGCACCGTAAACGGAGCCCAAAATGCTCGGAGTCTTCTTCGGTTGGGTCATCCCGCTTGTGATGGCAACAGATGGCAGCGAGCAACTGCGGAACAGTCGTTGGAAGAGACGCGCACGAATATGTGCGCGTGTGTGGCCGTGGATATCATATCATCAGATAAACGTCTCCGGCCATCCTGCCGCGCTCCATCTGATCTTCTCGATCGGCATCGATCTACCGCACTGAGACCATCAGCGCCGCCAGCATGTACGTACTACGTACGTGCAAGTCGATGTTACAATCATTACGTGGTTTTCAATTTTTGCCGACCCAAAATCGTGGCAAGCCAAAATTTTTAGTCACCACTTGATTCATTGTCAAAGAATTAGTACACCAATACTTATGACCAAAGTTTTAACAAGTTTGTACAAACTTCTTAAATTGCATGAGAGACAAAGCTTTCTCCATTGTTATGGCAATCAACCAATTGTACCCAATATTTTCTTTCATAAATTTGACTGGCCTTCATTTTGACGAGTCTAAGTTTTGGCTTACTATAATTTCGGTTGGGCAAAAATTGAAAGTCAATCAATACGTTCCAACAATAAGGAACATTAGGCTGTCTCCAACAGGAGATCCATTACGGAACCAAAACTTAAAATAGGTCTCCAACACAATACCTATAGCCTCCAACAGAGTACCTATATGGAAGACCCATTTTAGGTGACAGGAGAGGCATAACTCAAATGTGAGTATCCTCTCTCTTGAAAACTCATTTGCAGAAAGGGTTGTCTTTTGAGTCTTGTTTTGGGGAAAACCAAAAATAGATATCGAACCCTTTGCCTATAGCGCTACCTAAAAGACTAATGGGTCTTGTATTTTGGATCGCGGTTGTTGTAGACAGTCTTATGGAAAAAAAAAACCATCACCACCAGCCATGCATGCACATACATACATCATTGATCTATGGGTAGTCGGTGACGTGCTGGACTGCTGGTAGGTAAGTTGGGTAGTACGTATATGCGCGTGCATGCATGTTCGTTCGCCTCAACGGCTCAACATCATGCATGTCCGTCGTCTTTCCCCGCGAAGCATCTGGAAGTGCAGTGGTGTGAGTGACCGGTCCGATCGGCTATAGCAGGCACGCCTGTTTCACCTTTTCAGATATCAGCAAGGACCGGTCTTGTCTGATCCAACAAGATAAATAAACGTACTATATATAAACAAACATAATATGGGCATATATTCAGTACATACAACCAAAGTGGAAAACCGATCCTTTTGCGCCCTTCATTCTTTTTAACGACGATGATCATCAGGCAGTGATCACCTTACACAAAGCAAGTGAGCGGATAGGAAAGAGTACGTGGACGAGCATTGCCGTTAAAAAAGGAGAAAATAAAGCCAATCGAGTATCCAGTAAGAATTCAGTCCAAATACACGCATTCTTCTGCGGTTCCTTCTGCAGATTTTCTCCCTCCCCACTCGATGGCCCAACTTCTCCCACGCAAGGCAGCATACGGGCCGCACCGCAAAGTTAAGAGAGAGACATCGGCCCATGGTTCGCTCGTGTAGTGTTCACAGTTCACTCCTTTATTCTGTCGTGTTCTTCCCCAGCCGCACTGGTGGCGACGGCGGAGCAGCGGACTCCGGCGGCGGCGAGGGCGCGTGCGCGTCGGCGCCGGCTGGCGTGCGCAGTGGCGCACGGGCTGCGAGGCTGCGACCTGACTGGCGAGCGGCCTTCGGCAGAGCGCAAGCGCAGTGCCTGGGACCCGTGGTGCCGCGCGGGGCCGGGGACTGCTGGTCGGCATCATGCTTTGTTCACGTAGAGCACACACTCGGGTATTGAGTACTGGTTTGAAAATACCAAATTACAAAACAAATCTTACCATTGCCTACTGAATTGCTAAACAGATTTTACCGATTTGCGTATGAAAATTTTAGCGTTGCATATCCTAGAGAATTCTGGGCCTGCCACTGCCTACGATTTGACAATTTTAGCTTCCACCAATGGGTTTTAGATTGTAAAAAAAAGTTAATATCATTACAATTTTGAATACCCAAGTTTAAAATTATAGGCACTCCACTGCGAGGTAGCAGACACAAATATATACAGGAACGGTTATGTTTTGTTTAGGGCGTTGTTCGTCAGAACTAACCAACACTGCGCGCGCGTGACGACCATGAAAAAAAGTGGTGCACGCAGTTGCAGTCAGGTAGGGCCCACATCGGTCCTTTCTGCGGGGCAGCGCATGGGAGCATGTACGGCCACTCGTTCAGCGTGGGTTGCATGCGGCTCGGGGCAGCACATGGGAGCTCGTGCGGCCACTCGTTCGGTGTGGGGCGCACAACAGCGCATGCGGCCTCGCTCGGCGTGGGATGCATGCGTGCGTGAGGTCGTGTGCATGCGCTGTGACTAGAGAGAGAAGGACCGTCAAAGAGAAGGAGCGCGGGGCCCGCATATTTCATGGCACTGATCTCTGTATGTTTCATGTGTTTAGATGTATGTTTCATCTAATTGTTGCAATGGCTATACATGTATGTTGCAATTGTATATTTTAAATGTTTCATCTGTTTTACACATATGTTGCAAGTGTTTTATTTGGATGTTGCATATGTTTCAGTGGCTATATACATATGTTGCAAGCGTCTATTCAACAATGTTTCATCTGTTTAAGACTATGTTGCAAGTGTTTTATCTAGATGTTGCATATGTTGCTGCTATACACATATGTTGCAAATATTGCCCTTGTTTCAAACGTATGTTGCAGAAATACTTCATGTTGCAACATTAGCAGGCGCATGAAGCGAGCACACGTGGAGGCGGTTCTCACGTGCGTGGCAAGCGAAGCAGGCGTGGGTGGTCCCCACTGTGGTAGAACCTCCTAAGAAATTGGGCCCACGTGCACCTATCGATGTCTCAATAGACCTCAGATAGCGTACACAAATTCCCAACAACTTAACAGGTCTATCGGGTGTCCTCGGGAAACCCGAATCATCCACGAATCTTTTCCAAACAGGATCCCAATCACAGTCATTGCAGATTACAACAGTTTTCAATATACATACCAGAGATTATAAAGCGGAAGACTTAAGTTTTAATATTACAAACCAGTTGTTTCAAACTTACAAAACCATAAGTGTCATACAACCATAGTAGCGGGATAATATTACATTAACATTATTTATTTCACACAAACTAGTGCCTTGTCCAAAGGCCATTCATCATTCCTCATCATCATCAACTTCAAACACTGACATACAGCAGGGACCAAAACAAGCTCAAGCATGCGACTCACCCGCAACAAGGGTTAACGAACCACGAGTACAAAAGTACTCAAAGAAGACCGACCCGATTAAAAGGGGCGAAGGTCTTAGGGATGCAGGTAGTGGGTCAAGGTAAGGATGTAGCAAAATTCAAAAGTTCTTTGCCAAAAGCTTACTATTCTTGATCCTAGTTTCAAGTTTTACCCCTAAGTACTTTAGTTCATTATCTCCAACTAAGTGTTCATATCCCATGTTCCAATCCTTCTCATTCCATTCTTTTTCTCATGTTTTAGTAATTCACCAGTCCTGCATTGCTTCTGTAATGAATCGAGTCTCCATATCCGTGGAACACCGACAATTCGAATTGATTCAAGTCCCAGCTGGGGATTCCTTATCACACGACATATGTAGAACTTAATCTTGCATATATCAACCTCGCTACCGGATCCTCCCATACTAAGCCGTCTCCACGCCACCCGAGAGCACAGCACGCCTCAAATCCGGCCACATTCAAGCCACGAGGGTACACGTTACTCCCGCCATCTCACCACTCCCAGTGCGTGGGCATTCGTCTTAGTATCGGATTAGCCGAAGTAGGCTTACCGGAGTATGTGACCAGTACTACAAAGTGTCTCGTTCAGAAGATCCACAATGAGTGACCTTTAAGCGACATAGTCGGCAACATTACCCAACATTCAAGATAAGCCACCCAACTAGTCTCTAGTTCATTCTATCTTCTTTCTTTCTTTGGACAGTATGCCATCTTTGATTGTATCGAAACTTTTATTTTGAAAACCTACCATAAAGCATACTAAGCAATTCTACGCCTTTGTAAATGAAATCATCTTCAAGGATGGTAAACAATCAACAAGGTAGGCAATGCATCAAGTAGGTAACATTTGAATAAATCAACTTAATGCAATAAGTAACATAGGTGATAAACTTTTCAAAGTAAACAAGGTAATGGTTTAATGCATAAACCGGGGCTTGCCTTCGTTGACGATCTCTGGTTCCGGATCAGTACCACAATTATCGAATCCATGACAATCGGGGATTCTTTCACAACTTGCTCAACTAGAATCGTTTCACTCTCGGATTCTACACGAAATAATAACATATGCTTCAATATGATAATAATGTAAACATGATGCTTTGATGGTACATGAAATGTAATCACACCTTGAATACAACTTTCCTTCGCGATATAGTTGTAAGTCAACAAAACTACTTGACACTAACATCTAGGGTTTATAACCTAAGCGACTTGACCAAATTGATCTTGAAACCCTACTGGTCACACAACATGACCCAAACAAGATCAAACCCTAACCCTAACAATTAGGGTTTGCTTTTATTCAATTTTGAATTAATTTAGAAATAAGCCCAAAAATAAACTTGTTCTAAATGACCTCAAAATTTTATGTAAGCTTCCTCATAACAAATTAGTGTACCAAAATAAATTTCATAATTTTTGGAGCTATACAGTGACCTACAAAAACTATGGAAATTGCATTTATCAATTAATTGACTGAATTTTTGAACAATAAAAATTTATT